TTTAATGGCATCGTTTACATCTGATTAATAAAATTGATTTTTCTCATCTGTTGTTGGGTCTGTTGGAAATATGCCAACTGCCTTGTCACTCCTTTGTGGTGTGGTACACTTGGAGTTCTGTGGTTGATGGTGGTTTGGTCCTATCCCATCAAGTCATACTCTCTTTGCTTTTGGGAAATTGTGATTTAATATCATTTCAAATTTTCGTTTCCCTTAGAGGTTTGAAAAATAATTGATGTTTCCATTGAGTACGCATTTCACATTTCACCAAAAAGGGGGAAGGTTTCACGCAAACTTACATAACTTAAACTAAAAAGATTTTGAAACTTCATGCCCAAAATAGAACCCTATTTGACACGTCCATTCCCCTCCCGGTTTTTTTCACCACGCAGCGAAAACCACGTACCACAAAGGAATAATTACAGTAATGCAAAGAGATCAAAGATTGGCATGTCTCAGATAAGCAATGTTTATGACGTGATAATTTTGCGGTCTAAAACAATGATAGAAGGCATAATCAAAATAACAGTTCAGGACAAATTAAATGTTTCTCATTTCCCTGCAAATTCTTTCAGGAAATCAAATTTCCAGGCTACTAACAAATTCAGGATTCACAGGAAGAAAACCTAATCATTTTACCGGAAAAAATAAGGCCACTCACGGATCCATATTGTGAAGGTATCTGTAAAGAGATGCTTTAATAGTGAAGACTTTCCATGGCCAAAAAAAATCCTACTCAACAAAACTAACACTCAGTCTTAAATAAAATAATGGCAAGCTCCAAAAACTATTCAACGCACATAAATAATATTAACAGTTTAAGAGCATAATAACCATGCAGAAAACGCAGACAGTTTTTTTTTCATTGAATTTTCGTAACCAAAACAAAAGCTTACTGATTTCTCGAAAACTGAATCACCCATCACTTCTCATTTAAACCACATTCCTGAAGGGTCGTTGAAAGTTACCCACTAAAATCTTTCAAATTACACACAGCTATATCATTTTCCTGTTCAAATGATAAAAAAAATGCAGTAGCTAAAATGAGAAAATTAAGCTTATTTACATGATGACTTGCAATAAATAAGAAAAGAGCTAGGATGGAATGTTTTGATAATTTCAATTACATTTAACTTTTCAATCTGACAGCTGATTTAAGCAGCTTTTCATCATAGATGATTCTCGCTTTACAATCAATCACTGCTAATTGCTAAGTGTCGGTGAAACGAAACCGCTTTCATTGTCAGCTAATATGAATACTACTATTCTCTCCATCACGGAAATTTTCTATCCGATAGCGCGATCCACGTAAAAGAAAGTTGTAGTGAAGTCTGATATTTAAGCTTGAGCTTAACTAAAAATGTTGTACACAAACTTGATCCAAACACGTTATGTTCAAGGTCTTGAAAGGAATTAAGTGCTTCTTGATCTGTTGTAGCTACAAAGCTTCTGGTACCTTGAAACACTCGGGTGTCTTCACCGCAAGTCACGGGCAACCTCTTGAAAATGTTCGTCTCATACTGTGTTAGCTACGTACTCCATAGTGGCAGATCTGTCGTATCTTGGTTTTCGGTACCGCAAAATTGGAATAAGCCCGAAGAAAATATAAAACAAGCCAGCAAAAACCAAAGCATAACCAACCGATATCCAAGATCTTTGCTTCGACAAGAATGCATAGTGGAAGATCAGTGAAAGAGCCGTGCCGAGTAGCAACATCACTAGGCCGGCGAAAACCACTTGCCAACCACGACGCCGCCAAAACGACGAGAATTCTCGCCCAGTGTTCACGTCTGTTCCATCTATAAAAAGTCGAAATCCTCCAAAGTAGTTCGTCCACGACAGAGAGTTGTAAATAAGCAAGAACGAGTGGCCATCTTGTTCCCACTCGTACTGGCCGCCACCGCAGCACAGGGGACTGCACGGATTGTAAGTCAAACCGTGGTGTTCCAATTCGTGCCCGTTCACGTAGATACGGTAATCTTCACAAAAACAGCCGATTTCTCGGATTAGCTGAACTGTATACTGTCGATATTCAGGACCAACCTTGAGGTTTTGCGCCCAGGTACAAGTTGTTTTACAGCAGGAAGGCATCTCGTCGGGACTACAGCAAGTATCGTCCTTCGCCTGAAACTTTGTAATCAATTTCGGATTAAAAGGTCTTAAGAAACCCTTTGCCTAGTCGCTTTTCCTTTATCTGCGGGTTTTCTTCAAACCAATGGCAAGTTGAAGTGTAATTACGAATAGTTATCCGCAAACCAAAAACGTAATGGTGATCGATGATCAGTATCCCAAATGCAAATAAAAATGTACAGAGCGTGACAACTTCCCTCGCAATGCATTTGTGTTAATCCTTGGTGCGTAACGCAACCAAACCTTATTTACTTTTTCATGGAATTATTGTTCATGTGAAAGTCAAAAAAGCCTTTGTAGCCAATACAAGAAACTGTGAGCTGGACAGTTGTCTTTTGCTCAAGAGAATAAAACAATCCTTGAATTCATGTATCATCTAAAATTTCTTCCACAAAACAAAAACATAATTAGAAATGAATTGGGGGCAATTTTACTAGACATTCACCCGCGCTACCTTTAAATTAGAGAACATTAAATTCGTTTTTTGATAATTCTTCCAGACCTGTCGGCTCCGAAGTTTCATTTGACGTCCCTCCGGAGTTTTATCAGAAATCACTGAAAAAAGTAAGAAAATAAAATAAAAACACACGTAAGAGACTCTCTCCCGTTTTCGAAGAAAATGCTGGTTTTCACTAAGGGTCGCCATAAGGCGCTACAAACAGCACAGCACCTTTTGTGCTTAGTGAAAAACAGCCTTTTCTGCGCCAAGGGGAGAGACAAAAGGCGGTTTCTAAGCAACATCTTACTGAGTCTGTGAATGTTGATTGCGCTAACCAGCCTAAGTACTAGTAATATAATGAACGTTTAATACAATGAATTACACAAAGTCGATGAAGCACTGAACGCTTGAGACGTGTTTCGCGCGTGCTGGTTCCAAGCCACCCGTTTAACAGATTATTGTGGAAATATAATAGTTATCTTGCATATGAGGAAATAAATAATTCATTGCTTGTGGTTGAATGTGGCAAAGGCGCGATATTCTTAACATATTACTAAAGAGAATTTTCATCCGTGGTTAAAATAAACACGGTTTTATTGTGATTTCTTACTGTGGAGGTCTTTCAAAAGAGGCGTTGCTGAGAACAATAATTAAGGCAGGCATCTTTAAAGGCGCCGTTCGCAGGTTTGAATGATAAGAAAGGAGTACGGTTTCTAAAGAGATGGAAAGAAACAAACAACGCTTATCTTTTGAACGGGCTAAAAGGCCGTAAACGCGCTTTATAGTGGTATTGAAAAAAAGGTTGTTTACTTTACGTCTCTTTTTAACTGCACGCTTTGCTTCACATAGCTCCCTGAATATTCTAAACACTTCACTGCACCGTATATTTGCATGCGTTTTACGCTGTGTCTAAATTAAATCATAAATTTAAATGACTGTGCAGAAATGGATTGTGATCGCGAAACAAGTGTGAAGTGCGACCCTTTTAATTTTTTATTTATTTATTTATTTTTCTCAGTTCCGCGGTAGATATTTCCGTGTTGTAGACACGAATTCCACGTAGGCAATGTAAACAAGTTCATATTCTTAACATTTCTCCGTTCGTGACAACATTTCAAGTATTTTAATACATGTATAACCGTGTTTAACGGCGATGTTACGTCGTTTGGATTTTTCGCTAAACTCACAGCACAAGTGCCGTTAGTTTATGATTTGTGCTGTGTCATCACATCTTGTTTCTTTCTCTTCTCCGTAGCATTTAAATGGTTTGAATAAGTAATATGCGGTTTAAAGTTTCCTTACACCGTGTAAACTGGTCCGTAACGATTAGAATGTATCGCCACATGTGATGTTAAACCCTCCACAATCTTTAACAAGCCAAAGATTAATAAAACCCGGCCTAGGAGTTCCCATAAGACAAAATAAGGCACGGTGTCTTCGAAGTATCTTATTGATTCCAATAAGATTCCAATCAACACTTCGATTAGTCCAAAATAAACCAGCACCCATCCTCGCCGCCTCCACAACTCTGACGGAGTGAGATCCCTCTCGATCTGTAAACCATCGATTAGTAAATGATACTCAGTCATGGACCAAACTCCAGGCACTACCATCAGTAGAAATGAACGGCCGTCGAAAACCCAGGCGTGTTGTTCGCTTCTACTACACACAGCTAAGCCATTCAGGCGCTTAAATGTTGTGTGATGAATTTGCAAACCGTTCGTAAATATGCACAACTCTTCGCCGCACCATCGCTTAAGGCGGACTAATTCTACAGAATAATGTTTCTTTCCTGAGATAAAGTTGAAACTTTTTTCCCATTTTTTGATGGTTTTCCATAAGCACGCTTGCATTTCTCTAAGATTGTCACTACGCAATTACGAACGACCTCCGCAATGCGTGTGGCTGAGGCGGCCAGATTATTGTAATACCTGTCACGTCATTCCCAGATAACAACTCGTGACGACAACCTCTTCCAATCATATTTGTCACATGAGCGGCCCCTATCTACAGTATCGTAGCTTAATTAAGCGATGCTGGCAATGGCTTGTTTTCGCGATTTTTTTTTCTGTTAATGAACTTCATCGTTATACAACAAAAACTTTGAAACTCTTTTTTTTCCTCTCTGTCTTTCTTTGACCTTCTTTACCTTGGTCTCCACAGATTCGAAATTATGTTTATGCATGTCTGAATAAGCCAAATTTGATCATACAAGTTCAACACACAACAGAAAGAGAACAATAATACATAGGGAGAAGAATGAATAATAACACGTGAAAGCAACGGTGCTGTTTTGTAAACAAGCTCCGGATTTAATACAATTTGATGGTTATGTAAGTAAATAATATACAGTTACGTCCGCTTATACTCCGGTGGACTCTACACCCGGAAACTGGCAGGGTATGATCTGTCAGTGTGCTTGTCAGTGTTCGAACTATTTTCAGCTCAATTTGTAAAAACAAGAGTCCATTATAATTATAGACTCGGACATGTAAAGACAGTGTTCAGATTGTCAGTTCGTCATCTCGGCACACACTGGTGTCCGAAAAAGCTGAGAATTTGGTCTCCTCGCGTTGCTTTCAGTTGAGAATTTGAAATGGGCTAAGATGTGTAGTGCTCGTGCAAAGCCGTTGTACTGTGGTTTGCGTAGGGCTAGGTCGTCTTTCGCCCTGCGCGTTTGCGTTTCTGCCGTAAGCCGGAATACATTAGGCGCGCAGTTTGGTTGCTCCTATACACTCCACGTACGGTCCACGCGCACCGCCCACGACCGCTCAATGAAGGAACCTGTGGACGTGGAGTACCAGGCCCCACACCTTTTCCCCATGCGTAGACCCCACTTGCTATAACAAGCCTGACACTCAGATTGGTCTGTGAGATAGGGGTCGGATTAATCAGCATCCTGGTCCTCAAGGTTGGGGATTCCGTATGGGGCTAGTGACCTCGATTCACTACCCCAGAAACCTTACAACTGAAGCAAATGCTCAAATGGATCCCGGCGACAGCAACTCCTGTGAAATCTGCCCCGCTCCGCTGACCATCGATCGACTGGTTTGCAATCTTTATCAGTGCCGACATAGTAACCATGGAAACCAATCAGTCACTCTTTTGTTCGCCAAACTTTTGGTTTCTGGGATCAAACCTTGCTAACCAGTTGAAATATTTGATTTGACTTTTCGACTTCATGTAGATTTAAACAAGAGAGGATTAATTAAGGCTAAAAATAGTTAATCCCCCATATACAGGCCTTGTTCCTCTTTTAACACCACTCCCAGCTTCAGAAATCCCAGCAGGATCTAGAAAGTCAATCCTGTGACGAAAATTTTGCTCATGTAGATAGTCCAAGTGGGTTAACAAGAATGATCATTTTCCATCTACACAACGCGCGTGATAAGATTATCCGCGGCAAAACTGAGCGCAATCTCTAAATTAAGCCAGTGATTATCTTAGGCATAAGGCCTATATGGCTTATATGCAGGATTAACTCTCTTATCCCTTTTAAAGCATTTTTTCAAAAGTGTACAGGGGCTTTAGAGTTGGGTCGTTTTCCTCGGTAGCTGGACGAGAGATACACTGTAACCTCCAATTTGCTCCTTTTTGCATGAACTGTAGCCTGTTCATGAATGAAATTCTTGACTCGCTTGCTTCATAAACAAGCAGAACTAGACATAATCAAAATAGTTACTAAGGAAAATTGTCATAAACGATTTGGGCCCAATAGTCTCGAATTGAGTTACTGGTAAGCACGGAGGAATTTTAATAATACTTTTCTCACCCTTGCCGGAACCTGCAGAGCTCATATTTTATTCGAAAGCTGCAGGTGCAGATCAGAACACCTGTACAGCTAGCTTTAAGATTACAAAAGATTGTGCCATTTAAAATAAACCTTGTATCTACCTTTTACCGAGAAACGTTCCATGTATCCCATAGCGAGCATTTCATGATGAGCTAGAGGAAATCAGAGGACAGAGAGGGAGGCTTCAAGTCAGGGCCTTCCACGCGGTCCCCCATTATCATTAAAAGCTTTTCACTCACGACCTCACATCGAGGTTGGACTCCATGCGGACATCTATGGGATCAGATTTCCATTCCTTCTAAAACTAAAAATAACTTTAGAGGAATCGACATATCCCAGCCAACGCTTGCAAATGTCTCCTCTCTCATTTTATCTTGATGATGAGTGAAATCAGACGAAAGGGTTTTTTTCCTCTTTGGCAATCATATGTCAAGGAAATGTGACGAACTGCGATAGAACATCTTTTTCCAAGAAATGCACTGTTTTCGGTTTCAAACTAAATTTTGCAGTTTCTAACAACTCAGCTAGATGACAGCTATATTGTGTGCAATTTTGCAAATAGCCAGGGACATCCATCCAGCGAGGGTTTTCTCTTAAATTGATGTTTTAAAATGCTGTTTTAGGTTATCTAGATCGGAGTGCATGCTTTTCAAGCTCTGTAGGTTAACTTTAGGCTTCACTTGAAAATGACCAAATGGGCTTTACAAACTCTCGCTAAAAACTCAAACTAGAAATAAAAAACTACATAAATAAATAAATAAATAAATAAATACATAAATAAATAAATAAATAAATAAATAAATAAATAAATAAATAAATAAAAGCTGTCCTACGACAAAACTACCGATAAAAATAAACCTGTTCCTCGTATAGAGAAATTTTCATGAGCAGATATTTTTGGATAGGGTACGTTGTCATCGATCAATAGGCAGTCATTTCTTTAAGAAAATCTCCTATGTCCTAGCTTATAGCAGTAAGCAAGACCTAGCTTATAATATATTATCCCGCGTCGTATTTTGATAAGTATCATGAGTCATTTGAAGTGAAGTAGTTCCATGCCTTGCGTTGGACAGTATATATGAGTTCTTGACCAAGCTTGAAGTGAAGGTAGCAGGACTCTATAGTTTGTTTTAAATGGACCGAGGCGCATTCTCTTGTTCAATGGCTTGGAAACTGATTTCAATTTCGCTTTCCTTGTGTTTTGGTTTCTCTGGAAAACGGAAGTGAAATTTGTATTTTCCTGACATCCGTTGGTCATCAAAGTTGATTACTGTTCCTCCACCTTTTTCGCAAAAATTGAAATTCAGCAATGAAGTTATTTAAAAAACCTTTAGTTTTCACTGCTTTTAATTAATAGGCGTTGTTTTGCAGGGAGGGAAAACAGAAGAGGTTTATTAGTTACTTTACAAAAACGAACAAGTTCAAAGCAGTAATAAACACCCCATACATCAAATAAACACCTCATGATATATATAGACGTGACGAACAATGTTACCTGGTTACTGACCTTCAGCTTCTTATTATCCTATCATTTTCCGTGATATCATGCAAATTCCAATTTGTTTGTATTCATCATGTTTTTGTAGTTAAATTAAGTAAATTCAACTGCTTCTTGATTCGGGGAGGTGAAACGGGGACGAGTCCCATTGTGTGTACACATAGGGTGTATGATACAGGGAAAGTACACAAGCTGGTGCACACATAACGGATGTTGGTTATTTCTTATTGTTGTAACGGGGACAGTTTGCAAGATCCGAGTACACAGGATGCGATATTGAAAATAGGTCCAATCTCCCCTCCAAAAGAGAAGCCTTACGCCCCATCCACATTACGCCGGAGAAATGTGAAAACGCAGCTTTATTTCTACGGTTTGGCCTACCGTCCACACTAATCCGTTACGAAATCCGGCTCTTCAAACCGAAGGAATTTAAAAACGCCGGCATTTCGTTTTCGTGCGGACAGAAAACATTTTGAAAATGGAGCTTTTCGAAAACGATGACGTCACGATAATCATGTGATTTTCCCGGCCTGACCGAGTTTTCCTCGAACACAAATCCGAAACGAGCTTTGACTGTTGCGTTTTGAAATTCCTCTGGCGTAGTGTGGATAGAAAACATTTGATGCGAGTTTCAGAGTGAAACCTCCGTTTTCAAATTTTTCCGGCATAGTGTGGACGGGCCCAGGTAAATGTAACTGGTTCTTGTTGCGCGGACGTGAAGAGGGGACAAGTCCCATCGTGTGTTCGCATAGGCCATATAGGACGCATGTCGCTGCGCACGAAGTGGATGTACAAGGTCATGATTTGAAAGTGAAAGTAATTCTGAAATTTCTGACTATATAAGCTTGCTTTTAAACTCGTTAGTGCCTGACTATTTCATTTTTGGAGGGACAAAAAAAGTGTCTAGTCGAAGTGTGTATTGCGATCGTCATACAGCTGGATGCGGTTTTCCATTTCAAGCATGGCCATCTCTACTGGCGCTCACCTGTTTTCCTACTCGTGCCTTTTCCAATAGTAATTTATTAAATTTAATTAGAGCCCGTTTGACGCTTATTTAAATTAAAAATGGAGCGGTAATCTTTTTTTATACTTTGTGTGCCATTTAATGAATTTTATAATTTGTCCGCTTCTCGGAAAAACTGACAGAAAAGATCGAAATAGAGCTCTAAGAGTCTTAGGTCTGCACGCGTTGTCACACAGGAAGCAGTTTTTCAATTCTGCCTGGAAAAAATGAGGGGCGCTTGTTCGAGGAGGCGCTAAATTGGGTGGAGGGCGTCTAAATTGGATCATTCTTATTTCATTATGTAATGCCAAGTATCTTGGTTATACCGAATTAACTTTAGGGTTTGGAAGAACTGCTTCTTTCTAACAATATATATTGCTATATGGTCAAATTTAGCTTCTGTAGCAGGTCGGGAGTTTCCCGCCAAATTAGGCGAAAATACGCCGACTGCAAGTTTCGTGTTTGTTCCGGATTCAGTGGGGTTTGACCTCACTCAGGCTTGGCCCTTAGTTATCGGAAGTGTCGGCGAGTACATGTCAATTTTATGCATGCACTCTTTACTGTCTGTCTATGCTTGCTCTGCGTGTCTTTTCGCGTTGGCGCTGTGTCCATGCTCCGACTTGATTGCCCAGAACGGCACTTTTTTAATTATACAAAAGTGGTCAAGGAGCTGATTAAGGATAGCGTCCAGTAAATATTACTTAAAATAAGATACAGCGCTGAATAGTGAAGTTATTCGAATCTGAGATGACAACAAAGGAATTGAAGGGCCCTGAAATATTCATAAATGCGAGATGCTACTGTGGTGACGTCACACGGTGATTTCTTGTCAATGGAAGCTCGGAAGCCATGTTCATTATCCCGCCATTTTGAGAGAGCGCGAACAAGCGGCTGATAGTTGGGAGGCCTTTTGGGCGTTAAAAAGGCGATATTTTTAACTCCAAGATGAGCGAAGGTGGCGCTTCGGGTAGCTCGGAAGATCTTGAAGAAGAATCCGTGTATATGTTATGTGGGTTGTGTAAAAAGCCGCCGGTGGACACGAGTCCGAAGCTTCTCCCTTGCCTTCACTCTTTCTGTTTGAAGTGCTTGGAAGAGCGTTTCGCCGAACAACAGCAAGAGAAGGTCCCTCCGACAACAGCCAGTACTTCGTCGAACTCGATTCCAAGGCTCAAATGCCCGAATTGTGGTCAAGAGTTTTTAGTCCCTCCGAAAGGAGTCCATGGCTTCCTGGATAATCAGTTCGTGTTAGAAAACATAGGAAAATTGCAGAGAAAACAGGAAGATGTGAGGCGGTTTTGTACTTCTTGCGAAGACAACAGTCCGGCTTCGTCGTTCTGTTTGAACTGTAGTGACTGGCTTTGCGATGCCTGTGTTTCTGCTCATCAGAGAGTTCGAGTAACTAAAGACCACAAGATTCAGTCGGAGGCACAGTATTTGGAAAACTCCGAGTCCGCAGACGCGAAACCCATTTTCTGTAGCACTCATCCACAAGAGGCTTTAAAACTGTTCTGTGCAAACTGCGAGAAATTGACTTGTCGGGACTGTCAACTTCTTGAACATAAAGATCATAAATATCAGTTTATTAAGGAAGCGGCAGTTAGTTACAAAGATTACCTACGAGGACAGCTGAATCGGTTGTACGAACAAGCACAACCGTTAACAGAATCAATCCGCGAAGTCGAAAAAGCCGCGAAAGGTTTACAAGAACGGGAAGAAAGCATTACATCTGAAATAAAAAAGTCATCAGAGATGCTTGTTAAGGCTGTTAAACAGAGGGAGAATGTCTTGTTAACAGAGTTGAAAGCTCTTGTACATTTTAAACACAAGCTTTTGTCCAAACAAAATAAAGACCTTAGGCTGATGCAAAAGATTTTACAGCACAATTACGGATTTACCAGACACGTACTAAAGAATGGCAGTGATATGGGATTGTTGTACAGCAAGAGACAGCTTAGCTCAAGAATTCAAAATTTATTAAGCCTCAAGTACAATGTCTTGCCAGTGGCTCACAGTGATTTGAAATTTTCTGTAGAAACAGAAAAGCTGTGTTCTGTCATCTCAAAACTTGGAAGTGTCATGACTCCAGCAGACAGGAATAATGCCACTTCAAGCAGGCCAGATGCATCCTTTCGTGGTTTATCCAATGCCAGTAGCTATGCACCTCTTCCAAGCAGTTCACTCCCCTCAGCAGTGTCCAGCCGTCCTGTCAGTTCAGGAACCCCAATGCGGCCCAACCCTATTGAAGCCCTCTCTGCCGTCAACAAGCGCTTAGGCCCACCAAGCAGTCAGTCTTATTCTACGAACAAATATCCTTCTCTTCAAGCTGCAATTGTACACCCGTCTGGTGCTAATTTAACTATAAACACTAAAGTTGGTGTTGTACCTGCAAACAGTGCATCTCGACCAGCACTAGCATCAGGTGGGCGAAACCTTCAAATGAAGTCAGGCAGTGGCCTTTCCAACAGCAGTTTTACTTTCGGACAGAGAAATCCGACTGTTAGTAATCTGTCAAATATGACATCCTTGTCCCATCCGCGTCCTGTTCGAAATGGCAACACCCTCCCTTTGCGACACTTTCAGGATATTGGGAGCAAAATTGGGAAGTCACCACCACCGAGACCGCCAAGCACAGGAAGCAACCACAGTCATCAAAGCACATCACCGCTTAGTGATTCATCTGGTTCTTTGCCAAAACAGAATGGCTGGGAAGAGCAAACAGCTGCCAATGATTCACCTGGTCAAGTCTTGAAAGGTATTTTAATTTGTAATACAACTGTATGTGTATTTTGGTTAGTGTGTGCCAATCCTTTTCTATGTTCAGAAACTTGATACTTTTACAGATTTTCCAGGGAAACAGAAAAGGGCAATGAATATTCAAGCTTGCTTGTTTCCTCCTGTCAAGGAAGTTGGAGTTCTAACTTAAAAAAAAAAAAAGATCTTAATCTGATTTAATCTTGTTTCTCTTGTGTTATCTTTTTCACTCAAGTGAATGTTTTTGTTGAAACATGTTCTCCAAGGTCAGTGTCGTAAGGCTACTGTACATGGAGATATGCCAGTTATTTTATGCGGCTTGTTTGTTCTTGTTCATGCAGATATGTATGTACATGGACCTTCAAAACAACTTCTCTGTCTTGGTTTATAATGGGCTGTACATATACTGCTGAAATGAAAAAAAAAAAAGAGATTAAAGGGGAAAAATACAGCTACTGAGCCATGTCTGGGCAAAATTCAAAGGTCACATGTAAAAAATGTCATCTATTCACATTTAGAACATTTTTTAAACTCTCATTGACCAGATTGTAATATTTATTTTTAAAATTCAAATTGAAAGTAGCAGCTCATTTTCATTTTCCTTTGGTTTATATGATGGCCATCATTACTAAAATTTAATTGCAGTATTCCCTCTCAGACTAGCATATTTGCAAGACGTTCAATTTTATTTTTTTATGATTTTACATTTATTTTTCTAAAAATTCCTGTATTGTTGAAACCAGATACCTGCTGTAATACTTTGTTTAAACTCTATATTTCTCCAAGTTTTTTGTGTCATACTGATTCACAAAATTCAGTACAATGTTTTGACTGGGTGAAGTGATTTAATTATTATTAACAGTACCTGGTCAGTTGAATTATTTCCCTCTTTCTAGATTTGGTAAAATGTGAAAATTAATTGATATTATATTGAAAATTCTCTTGAAGGTGTGATAATTATCTTTCAAGGAAGACAAAATAAGGAACGTAAATTTTTCAGTTCCTTTCACCAAAGCAATGAACAGTTTTGTTATTAATAAACAATTTTTAGCAGCTTGAAATTTAGTTTAAAAAATATTTTAACTTTGTGAAGAATGCCACTCTCTTCCAAAGATATATTGTTCCATTAATTTTTGAATATATCTGTCATCTAGTTGTTATCTTTTTGTTGCTTTCAAGAGTAACCAGAAATCAGTTCTGTTTCTGAGGTTTTGGAAAGCATATAATACATGTGGTTGCCTTATCACATGCCAATGAATTGCTCACTATGAAATATATTTTATCAATGAGCTGTGTGCTGTTGTTATAATGCATTTCACTATACATAACAATCATAGTGTTTGTTGTCCATTTGCTCAACATATTGCTCTTTATTTATCTTTCAACTAATCTAAACAAATGTCACTTATGCCAACGTGCAATGAATGAGGTTTTGAACATGTTAGGGCTTTGGCNACCGTCCACACTAATCCGTTACGAAATCCGGCTCTTCAAACCGAAGGAATTTAAAAACGCCGGCATTTCGTTTTCGTGCGGACAGAAAACATTTTGAAAATGGAGCTTTTCGAAAACGATGACGTCACGATAATCATGTGATTTTCCCGGCCTGACCGAGTTTTCCTCGAACACAAATCCGAAACGAGCTTTGACTGTTGCGTTTTGAAATTCCTCTGGCGTAGTGTGGATAGAAAACATTTGATGCGAGTTTCAGAGTGAAACCTCCGTTTTCAAATTTTTCCGGCATAGTGTGGACGGGCCCAGGTAAATGTAACTGGTTCTTGTTGCGCGGACGTGAAGAGGGGACAAGTCCCATCGTGTGTTCGCATAGGCCATATAGGACGCATGTCGCTGCGCACGAAGTGGATGTACAAGGTCATGATTTGAAAGTGAAAGTAATTCTGAAATTTCTGACTATATAAGCTTGCTTTTAAACTCGTTAGTGCCTGACTATTTCATTTTTGGAGGGACAAAAAAAGTGTCTAGTCGAAGTGTGTATTGCGATCGTCATACAGCTGGATGCGGTTTTCCATTTCAAGCATGGCCATCTCTACTGGCGCTCACCTGTTTTCCTACTCGTGCCTTTTCCAATAGTAATTTATTAAATTTAATTAGAGCCCGTTTGACGCTTATTTAAATTAAAAATGGAGCGGTAATCTTTTTTTATACTTTGTGTGCCATTTAATGAATTTTATAATTTGTCCGCTTCTCGGAAAAACTGACAGAAAAGATCGAAATAGAGCTCTAAGAGTCTTAGGTCTGCACGCGTTGTCACACAGGAAGCAGTTTTTCAATTCTGCCTGGAAAAAATGAGGGGCGCTTGTTCGAGGAGGCGCTAAATTGGGTGGAGGGCGTCTAAATTGGATCATTCTTATTTCATTATGTAATGCCAAGTATCTTGGTTATACCGAATTAACTTTAGGGTTTGGAAGAACTGCTTCTTTCTAACAATATATATTGCTATATGGTCAAATTTAGCTTCTGTAGCAGGTCGGGAGTTTCCCGCCAAATTAGGCGAAAATACGCCGACTGCAAGTTTCGTGTTTGTTCCGGATTCAGTGGGGTTTGACCTCACTCAGGCTTGGCCCTTAGTTATCGGAAGTGTCGGCGAGTACATGTCAATTTTATGCATGCACTCTTTACTGTCTGTCTATGCTTGCTCTGCGTGTCTTTTCGCGTTGGCGCTGTGTCCATGCTCCGACTTGATTGCCCAGAACGGCACTTTTTTAATTATACAAAAGTGGTCAAGGAGCTGATTAAGGATAGCGTCCAGTAAATATTACTTAAAATAAGATACAGCGCTGAATAGTGAAGTTATTCGAATCTGAGATGACAACAAAGGAATTGAAGGGCCCTGAAATATTCATAAATGCGAGATGCTACTGTGGTGACGTCACACGGTGATTTCTTGTCAATGGAAGCTCGGAAGCCATGTTCATTATCCCGCCATTTTGAGAGAGCGCGAACAAGCGGCTGATAGTTGGGAGGCCTTTTGGGCGTTAAAAAGGCGATATTTTTAACTCCAAGATGAGCGAAGGTGGCGCTTCGGGTAGCTCGGAAGATCTTGAAGAAGAATCCGTGTATATGTTATGTGGGTTGTGTAAAAAGCCGCCGGTGGACACGAGTCCGAAGCTTCTCCCTTGCCTTCACTCTTTCTGTTTGAAGTGCTTGGAAGAGCGTTTCGCCGAACAACAGCAAGAGAAGGTCCCTCCGACAACAGCCAGTACTTCGTCGAACTCGATTCCAAGGCTCAAATGCCCGAATTGTGGTCAAGAGTTTTTAGTCCCTCCGAAAGGAGTCCATGGCTTCCTGGATAATCAGTTCGTGTTAGAAAACATAGGAAAATTGCAGAGAAAACAGGAAGATGTGAGGCGGTTTTGTACTTCTTGCGAAGACAACAGTCCGGCTTCGTCGTTCTGTTTGAACTGTAGTGACTGGCTTTGCGATGCCTGTGTTTCTGCTCATCAGAGAGTTCGAGTAACTAAAGACCACAAGATTCAGTCGGAGGCACAGTATTTGGAAAACTCCGAGTCCGCAGACGCGAAACCCATTTTCTGTAGCACTCATCCACAAGAGGCTTTAAAACTGTTCTGTGCAAACTGCGAGAAATTGACTTGTCGGGACTGTCAACTTCTTGAACATAAAGATCATAAATATCAGTTTATTAAGGAAGCGGCAGTTAGTTACAAAGATTACCTACGAGGACAGCTGAATCGGTTGTACGAACAAGCACAACCGTTAACAGAATCAATCCGCGAAGTCGAAAAAGCCGCGAAAGGTTTACAAGAACGGGAAGAAAGCATTACATCTGAAATAAAAAAGTCATCAGAGATGCTTGTTAAGGCTGTTAAACAGAGGGAGAATGTCTTGTTAACAGAGTTGAAAGCTCTTGTACATTTTAAACACAAGCTTTTGTCCAAACAAAATAAAGACCTTAGGCTGATGCAAAAGATTTTACAGCACAATTACGGATTTACCAGACACGTACTAAAGAATGGCAGTGATATGGGATTGTTGTACAGCAAGAGACAGCTTAGCTCAAGAATTCAAAATTTATTAAGCCTCAAGTACAATGTCTTGCCAGTGGCTCACAGTGATTTGAAATTTTCTGTAGAAACAGAAAAGCTGTGTTCTGTCATCTCAAAACTTGGAAGTGTCATGACTCCAGCAGACAGGAATAATGCCACTTCAAGCAGGCCAGATGCATCCTTTCGTGGTTTATCCAATGCCAGTAGCTATGCACCTCTTCCAAGCAGTTCACTCCCCTCAGCAGTGTCCAGCCGTCCTGTCAGTTCAGGAACCCCAATGCGGCCCAACCCTATTGAAGCCCTCTCTGCCGTCAACAAGCGCTTAGGCCCACCAAGCAGTCAGTCTTATTCTACGAACAAATATCCTTCTCTTCAAGCTGCAATTGTACACCCGTCTGGTGCTAATTTAACTATAAACACTAAAGTTGGTGTTGTACCTGCAAACAGTGCATCTCGACCAGCACTAGCATCAGGTGGGCGAAACCTTCAAATGAAGTCAGGCAGTGGCCTTTCCAACAGCAGTTTTACTTTCGGACAGAGAAATCCGACTGTTAGTAATCTGTCAAATATGACATCCTTGTCCCATCCGCGTCCTGTTCGAAATGGCAACACCCTCCCTTTGCGACACTTTCAGGATATTGGGAGCAAAATTGGGAAGTCACCACCACCGAGACCGCCAAGCACAGGAAGCAACCACAGTCATCAAAGCACATCACCGCTTAGTGATTCATCTGGTTCTTTGCCAAAACAGAATGGCTGGGAAGAGCAAACAGCTGCCAATGATTCACCTGGTCAAGTCTTGAAAGGTATTTTAATTTGTAATACAACTGTATGTGTATTTTGGTTAGTGTGTGCCAATCCTTTTCTATGTTCAGAAACTTGATACTTTTACAGATTTTCCAGGGAAACAGAAAAGGGCAATGAATATTCAAGCTTGCTTGTTTCCTCCTGTCAAGGAAGTTGGAGTTCTAACTTAAAAAAAAAAAAAGATCTTAATCTGATTTAATCTTGTTTCTCTTGTGTTATCTTTTTCACTCAAGTGAATGTTTTTGTTGAAACATGTTCTCCAAGGTCAGTGTCGTAAGGCTACTGTACATGGAGATATGCCAGTTATTTTATGCGGCTTGTTTGTTCTTGTTCATGCAGATATGTATGTACATGGACCTTCAAAACAACTTCTCTGTCTTGGTTTATAATGGGCTGTACATATACTGCTGAAATGAAAAAAAAAAAAGAGATTAAAGGGGAAAAATACAGCTACTGAGCCATGTCTGGGCAAAATTCAAAGGTCACATGTAAAAAATGTCATCTATTCACATTTAGAACATTTTTTAAACTCTCATTGACCAGATTGTAATATTTATTTTTAAAATTCAAATTGAAAGTAGCAGCTCATTTTCATTTTCCTTTGGTTTATATGATGGCCATCATTACTAAAATTTAATTGCAGTATTCCCTCTCAGACTAGCATATTTGCAAGACGTTCAATTTTATTTTTTTATGATTTTACATTTATTTTTCTAAAAATTCCTGTATTGTTGAAACCAGATACCTGCTGTAATACTTTGTTTAAACTCTATATTTCTCCAAGTTTTTTGTGTCATACTGATTCACAAAATTCAGTACAATGTTTTGACTGGGTGAAGTGATTTAATTATTATTAACAGTACCTGGTCAGTTGAATTATTTCCCTCTTTCTAGATTTGGTAAAATGTGAAAATTAATTGATATTATATTGAAAATTCTCTTGAAGGTGTGATAATTATCTTTCAAGGAAGACAAAATAAGGAACGTAAATTTTTCAGTTCCTTTCACCAAAGCAATGAACAGTTTTGTTATTAATAAACAATTTTTAGCAGCTTGAAATTTAGTTTAAAAAATATTTTAACTTTGTGAAGAATGCCACTCTCTTCCAAAGATATATTGTTCCATTAATTTTTGAATATATCTGTCATCTAGTTGTTATCTTTTTGTTGCTTTCAAGAGTAACCAGAAATCAGTTCTGTTTCTGAGGTTTTGGAAAGCATATAATACATGTGGTTGCCTTATCACATGCCAATGAATTGCTCACTATGAAATATATTTTATCAATGAGCTGTGTGCTGTTGTTATAATGCATTTCACTATACATAACAATCATAGTGTTTGTTGTCCATTTGCTCAACATATTGCTCTTTATTTATCTTTCAACTAATCTAAACAAATGTCACTTATGCCAACGTGCAATGAATGAGGTTTTGAACATGTTAGGGCTTTGGCCAAACTGATTGTAAGACAGGTCCTTGCAAGGTTTCTGGTGCTATCTTGACAGTGGTACACACAGAATTCAAATTGAAGTAAGTTCATGGGATGTTGCCTGGTTTTAAGCCTGTGTAACTCTGTGTAAATATATCTGAGTTTGATAGTATTTGCTTCAAAACTAGAGAACAGCCTATGACAGCTGTGAGCAGATTTCGTTTTACTTCATTACTTTCATGCCCTTCATATCAAATTACAAGCATCATGAGGAAAACATTTACAACAGTGTTTAAGGTTGTCAGAAGTAGTGATCTTACTTTTAGAAACATCAATGGCATAGCTGATTTCCTAATAAAAAAAAAGAGTTTAAAAGTATAGTAAACCCAGCAAATCTGATCTGAGAGCAAAATTACAGTGGTTCAAAACCAGTCTGAGTTCCATACATTCACTGTAGTTTTATTGGATTTACCCTTGAGTCAAGGTGGTGGTGGAAACCATGGAAGGGTCCTCTAGCCCAATCTACTCACTAGCCCATAGACAGACTGACAGAGCATCCGAAAATGTACATATAAAATATTCTGATCGACTGACGGACCTTAGCAAATCTCTAGATCTTCGCCACCAGTCTAAACTGCTTTAGTTGCACTCTGTTATTAATATTTATGTTCATGATGCCAACTCCTAAAACCATGGTTTGTGTAACTTTGAGTCAGTGAATTTTTACAATCTGTGAGCTTACATGTACAACATATTTATAGAATGCAATGGCGTATCAAACCTGCTTAGTTCTGAAAATTTGTTTCATTACATCGGATGCTTGTTATATATTAATGTGACAAATTCTAGTCATTGTTTTGCTGGTGAAATAACTGGTTACACTAGGTTTATTTGTTATATCTAGAGGTTTGTTTTATATGGGTTTGTCATACTCTTGTTTCATGTCATTATTCCTTTCAATGTGACAACAAAATTGTACACTGTAGAAGACACATGTAGGATTAAGTTTTGGTTAACTGTGTGAGATCTTCTTTATCTCTTATACTTCATATCGTGTTTTAGTTCTGTTAAATTTTTAATCATACATGTAGCCCATTGACCACACAAGAGAAAGTACTGCTCATAGTTTTGATATAACACAGCCTAGGAATTATTCTGGGTAGAACCAGGGGTTTCATCAAGGGCCGGGAATCAGGAAAAATTTCTGTGAGGATGATTTTGCCCGGCTGATTTAACCATCTAGAGGTTTAAGGTTTTGTTATAAAGAAGATTAGTTCAAAATGTTTTGTTTGCCTGTGAAAACCAGAAATACCCTCCTGCAGAAAACGTTAATGCAACCCTTGGGTAGAACCACTTGGTATGGCATAATAAACAGTAACACATGAAAGTACAACTCAGTGGTTTTCATTTAAATGTTACATACTAGGAAGTTCTCTATGAAGTTACATATAGAACCAGGTCAATCGATGTAGGGTCTTTCTATTCCAGGATAATAGTCAAAAGTATAGAAATTGAATAAGGATACTTAGGCAGTTTTGCTTTTGTAAATGAATGGTGATTAGTGGACAGTTTAGAGTGCTAATGAGGAACCATCAGTTCAGGTGTAATGGCGAGTACTGATGAAAATGATGATGGCAAGCTATCTAATGAGATCTCATTAATTTGTTGCTTTGTTTAACTTGTCACTGTTTCATAAAGAAGTGTGATTACTGTGGAAACGATGTATGGCTGATGAGTGTAAAAATAGTATGAAAAGTGAAGAGGTAGATTAAAGTTACAAAGAGGAAAGAAAATCATAAGATAATGAAATTCTTGGACATCAGTGATTTCATGCATGTATATAATTTTTTTTTGTACTGGACACCTACTGTACATGTATCTGATTTTTTTATGTGGTCCCTTACAAGTGAAAGCATATGGAATTGCGCACTATTTTTATTTTAAGTACATTTTTTTCTTAACAGAGATTGTGTTGCCCTGAGGATTTAGCTCTTATTGACCAAGCAGGAGGTCTGTATGGGAGAATGTTGACCGAAGCCATGAGTACAGTGTTTGGTCTGTACACATGACTGAGGTCAAGATTCTCCCAAATAGACCAACTAAGCTCGGTTAATGAGATGCTTATTATATTGCAAACAAGAAAAATTTAATTTGTTTAATATAACTGGTTTGTTCTAGCTGAAATTTTGCTTACTAATGGTGACGAGCTGAACTTAAATCTGCCAAAGCTTGCTCATCCTCTTTCCCTTTTTTTTTTTTTATCAGGCTTTTTGGTACTTGCATTATGTGAATATTTTCTGGAACTAATATTTTTAGAAGAAATTAGTCAATATGTTTGTATTTTAGTTTGCAACTTTTTCACCGCAAGATGTAATTGGTCTAGATGCCGGTCTAGATGGGAAAATCAAGACTGCGGTCGACATCGATTTCAGCTGATCTAATTCGTGAATTTGGTAGTTCCCAGTCCTTGTGAGACACAGTCATGTAATAAGTGTGTAGTATAGAAAGTAAAATTTACTGCTGTGTGAAAAAGCATCCATATTGTTAGTTATGTTTAGCTTTTTCAGTTTTTGAGTCCTTGAATTTCGAAACCAAAATACAATTGAAAAGTGAAATTTAGCATGTGAAAGTTTTGATGGATCATTACAGCCCCCCAAGAAAACAGTTGTCTTACGTCATAAACTATTTCCATAAAATTCTTCCAAGACACATGAGGTTTGATCTAAACAACTGCAACAACAAACAAAATAATGACCTAGCACTANAAATTGACTTGTCGGGACTGTCAACTTCTTGAACATAAAGATCATAAATATCAGTTTATTAAGGAAGCGGCAGTTAGTTACAAAGATTACCTACGAGGACAGCTGAATCGGTTGTACGAACAAGCACAACCGTTAACAGAATCAATCCGCGAAGTCGAAAAAGCCGCGAAAGGTTTACAAGAACGGGAAGAAAGCATTACATCTGAAATAAAAAAGTCATCAGAGATGCTTGTTAAGGCTGTTAAACAGAGGGAGAATGTCTTGTTAACAGAGTTGAAAGCTCTTGTACATTTTAAACACAAGCTTTTGTCCAAACAAAATAAAGACCTTAGGCTGATGCAAAAGATTTTACAGCACAATTACGGATTTACCAGACACGTACTAAAGAATGGCAGTGATATGGGATTGTTGTACAGCAAGAGACAGCTTAGCTCAAGAATTCAAAATTTATTAAGCCTCAAGTACAATGTCTTGCCAGTGGCTCACAGTGATTTGAAATTTTCTGTAGAAACAGAAAAGCTGTGTTCTGTCATCTCAAAACTTGGAAGTGTCATGACTCCAGCAGACAGGAATAATGCCACTTCAAGCAGGCCAGATGCATCCTTTCGTGGTTTATCCAATGCCAGTAGCTATGCACCTCTTCCAAGCAGTTCACTCCCCTCAGCAGTGTCCAGCCGTCCTGTCAGTTCAGGAACCCCAATGCGGCCCAACCCTATTGAAGCCCTCTCTGCCGTCAACAAGCGCTTAGGCCCACCAAGCAGTCAGTCTTATTCTACGAACAAATATCCTTCTCTTCAAGCTGCAATTGTACACCCGTCTGGTGCTAATTTAACTATAAACACTAAAGTTGGTGTTGTACCTGCAAACAGTGCATCTCGACCAGCACTAGCATCAGGTGGGCGAAACCTTCAAATGAAGTCAGGCAGTGGCCTTTCCAACAGCAGTTTTACTTTCGGACAGAGAAATCCGACTGTTAGTAATCTGTCAAATATGACATCCTTGTCCCATCCGCGTCCTGTTCGAAATGGCAACACCCTCCCTTTGCGACACTTTCAGGATATTGGGAGCAAAATTGGGAAGTCACCACCACCGAGACCGCCAAGCACAGGAAGCAACCACAGTCATCAAAGCACATCACCGCTTAGTGATTCATCTGGTTCTTTGCCAAAACAGAATGGCTGGGAAGAGCAAACAGCTGCCAATGATTCACCTGGTCAAGTCTTGAAAGGTATTTTAATTTGTAATACAACTGTATGTGTATTTTGGTTAGTGTGTGCCAATCCTTTTCTATGTTCAGAAACTTGATACTTTTACAGATTTTCCAGGGAAACAGAAAAGGGCAATGAATATTCAAGCTTGCTTGTTTCCTCCTGTCAAGGAAGTTGGAGTTCTAACTTAAAAAAAAAAAAAGATCTTAATCTGATTTAATCTTGTTTCTCTTGTGTTATCTTTTTCACTCAAGTGAATGTTTTTGTTGAAACATGTTCTCCAAGGTCAGTGTCGTAAGGCTACTGTACATGGAGATATGCCAGTTATTTTATGCGGCTTGTTTGTTCTTGTTCATGCAGATATGTATGTACATGGACCTTCAAAACAACTTCTCTGTCTTGGTTTATAATGGGCTGTACATATACTGCTGAAATGAAAAAAAAAAAAGAGATTAAAGGGGAAAAATACAGCTACTGAGCCATGTCTGGGCAAAATTCAAAGGTCACATGTAAAAAATGTCATCTATTCACATTTAGAACATTTTTTAAACTCTCATTGACCAGATTGTAATATTTATTTTTAAAATTCAAATTGAAAGTAGCAGCTCATTTTCATTTTCCTTTGGTTTATATGATGGCCATCATTACTAAAATTTAATTGCAGTATTCCCTCTCAGACTAGCATATTTGCAAGACGTTCAATTTTATTTTTTTATGATTTTACATTTATTTTTCTAAAAATTCCTGTATTGTTGAAACCAGATACCTGCTGTAATACTTTGTTTAAACTCTATATTTCTCCAAGTTTTTTGTGTCATACTGATTCACAAAATTCAGTACAATGTTTTGACTGGGTGAAGTGATTTAATTATTATTAACAGTACCTGGTCAGTTGAATTATTTCCCTCTTTCTAGATTTGGTAAAATGTGAAAATTAATTGATATTATATTGAAAATTCTCTTGAAGGTGTGATAATTATCTTTCAAGGAAGACAAAATAAGGAACGTAAATTTTTCAGTTCCTTTCACCAAAGCAATGAACAGTTTTGTTATTAATAAACAATTTTTAGCAGCTTGAAATTTAGTTTAAAAAATATTTTAACTTTGTGAAGAATGCCACTCTCTTCCAAAGATATATTGTTCCATTAATTTTTGAATATATCTGTCATCTAGTTGTTATCTTTTTGTTGCTTTCAAGAGTAACCAGAAATCAGTTCTGTTTCTGAGGTTTTGGAAAGCATATAATACATGTGGTTGCCTTATCACATGCCAATGAATTGCTCACTATGAAATATATTTTATCAATGAGCTGTGTGCTGTTGTTATAATGCATTTCACTATACATAACAATCATAGTGTTTGTTGTCCATTTGCTCAACATATTGCTCTTTATTTATCTTTCAACTAATCTAAACAAATGTCACTTATGCCAACGTGCAATGAATGAGGTTTTGAACATGTTAGGGCTTTGGCCAAACTGATTGTAAGACAGGTCCTTGCAAGGTTTCTGGTGCTATCTTGACAGTGGTACACACAGAATTCAAATTGAAGTAAGTTCATGGGACGTTGCCTGGTTTTAAGCCTGTGTAACTCTGTGTAAATATATCTGAGTTTGATAGTATTTGCTTCAAAACTAGAGAACAGCCTATGACAGCTGTGAGCAGATTTCGTTTTACTTCATTACTTTCATGCCCTTCATATCAAATTACAAGCATCATGAGGAAAACATTTACAACAGTGTTTAAGGTTGTCAGAAGTAGTGATCTTACTTTTAGAAACATCAATGGCATAGCTGATTTCCTAATAAAAAAAAAGAGTTTAAAAGTATAGTAAACCCAGCAAATCTGATCTGAGAGCAAAATTACAGTGGTTCAAAACCAGTCTGAGTTCCATACATTCACTGTAGTTTTATTGGATTTACCCTTGAGTCAAGGTGGTGGTGGAAACCATGGAAGGGTCCTCTAGCCCAATCTACTCACTAGCCCATAGACAGACTGACAGAGCATCCGAAAATGTACATATAAAATATTCTGATCGACTGACGGACCTTAGCAAATCTCTAGATCTTCGCCACCAGTCTAAACTGCTTTAGTTGCACTCTGTTATTAATATTTATGTTCATGATGCCAACTCCTAAAACCATGGTTTGTGTAACTTTGAGTCAGTGAATTTTTACAATCTGTGAGCTTACATGTACAACATATTTATAGAATGCAATGGCGTATCAAACCTGCTTAGTTCTGAAAATTTGTTTCATTACATCGGATGCTTGTTATATATTAATGTGACAAATTCTAGTCATTGTTTTGCTGGTGAAATAACTGGTTACACTAGGTTTATTTGTTATATCTAGAGGTTTGTTTTATATGGGTTTGTCATACTCTTGTTTCATGTCATTATTCCTTTCAATGTGACAACAAAATTGTACACTGTAGAAGACACATGTAGGATTAAGTTTTGGTTAACTGTGTGAGATCTTCTTTATCTCTTATACTTCATATCGTGTTTTAGTTCTGTTAAATTTTTAATCATACATGTAGCCCATTGACCACACAAGAGAAAGTACTGCTCATAGTTTTGATATAACACAGCCTAGGAATTATTCTGGGTAGAACCAGGGGTTTCATCAAGGGCCGGGAATCAGGAAAAATTTCTGTGAGGATGATTTTGCCCGGCTGATTTAACCATCTAGAGGTTTAAGGTTTTGTTATAAAGAAGATTAGTTCAAAATGTTTTGTTTGCCTGTGAAAACCAGAAATACCCTCCTGCAGAAAACGTTAATGCAACCCTTGGGTAGAACCACTTGGTATGGCATAATAAACAGTAACACATGAAAGTACAACTCAGTGGTTTTCATTTAAATGTTACATACTAGGAAGTTCTCTATGAAGTTACATATAGAACCAGGTCAATCGATGTAGGGTCTTTCTATTCCAGGATAATAGTCAAAAGTATAGAAATTGAATAAGGATACTTAGGCAGTTTTGCTTTTGTAAATGAATGGTGATTAGTGGACAGTTTAGAGTGCTAATGAGGAACCATCAGTTCAGGTGTAATGGCGAGTACTGATGAAAATGATGATGGCAAGCTATCTAATGAGATCTCATTAATTTGTTGCTTTGTTTAACTTGTCACTGTTTCATAAAGAAGTGTGATTACTGTGGAAACGATGTATGGCTGATGAGTGTAAAAATAGTATGAAAAGTGAAGAGGTAGATTAAAGTTACAAAGAGGAAAGAAAATCATAAGATAATGAAATTCTTGGACATCAGTGATTTCATGCATGTATATAATTTTTTTTTGTACTGGACACCTACTGTACATGTATCTGATTTTTTTATGTGGTCCCTTACAAGTGAAAGCATATGGAATTGCGCACTATTTTTATTTTAAGTACATTTTTTTCTTAACAGAGATTGTGTTGCCCTGAGGATTTAGCTCTTATTGACCAAGCAGGAGGTCTGTATGGGAGAATGTTGACCGAAGCCATGAGTACAGTGTTTGGTCTGTACACATGACTGAGGTCAAGATTCTCCCAAATAGACCAACTAAGCTCGGTTAATGAGATGCTTATTATATTGCAAACAAGAAAAATTTAATTTGTTTAATATAACTGGTTTGTTCTAGCTGAAATTTTGCTTACTAATGGTGACGAGCTGAACTTAAATCTGCCAAAGCTTGCTCATCCTCTTTCCCTTTTTTTTTTTTTATCAGGCTTTTTGGTACTTGCATTATGTGAATATTTTCTGGAACTAATATTTTTAGAAGAAATTAGTCAATATGTTTGTATTTTAGTTTGCAACTTTTTCACCGCAAGATGTAATTGGTCTAGATGCCGGTCTAGATGGGAAAATCAAGACTGCGGTCGACATCGATTTCAGCTGATCTAATTCGTGAATTTGGTAGTTCCCAGTCCTTGTGAGACACAGTCATGTAATAAGTGTGTAGTATAGAAAGTAAAATTTACTGCTGTGTGAAAAAGCATCCATATTGTTAGTTATGTTTAGCTTTTTCAGTTTTTGAGTCCTTGAATTTCGAAACCAAAATACAATTGAAAAGTGAAATTTAGCATGTGAAAGTTTTGATGGATCATTACAGCCCCCCAAGAAAACAGTTGTCTTACGTCATAAACTATTTCCATAAAATTCTTCCAAGACACATGAGGTTTGATCTAAACAACTGCAACAACAAACAAAATAATGACCTAGCACTATCCACGTGATCATGGAGTCTTCAGTTGTAAATACAGAAATGTTTAATATTTTTAATGTTTGCCTTTTTCAGGTGCAACATCACCTACTAGTGTTCCTGATTCGGTGCCCAAACTGCTCCCTGTGGTAAAGAGAAGCAATAGTTCCCAGGGAATACCAGACCCTGTGATACCACCTTCAGTGCCCAAACTGCTCCCTGTGTTGAAGAGGAGTAACAGTTCCCAGGGAATTCCCAACCCTGTGGTATCCCCTGTTGTATCTCCGACAGCAACCTCTCCACCACCAGTCAAGATCAAACAAGAGAAACCAGAATCTCCTATGGATTTCTCTCCTTGCCAAGAATCCAAGAAGGTATGGCATTGGTTTACTTACCAATTTATCACTTTCTAATTAGAATTCTAGAAGCCTTGGGCTGGGTTGTTCAAAGCCCTATAAGCTAACCCAGGATTAGCAAGTCTTCAGTTTTTTTTTTTGGCGAGGTTTTCTGGTTAAATTGTTTGTCCATCAGTCTTGTGCTTGATTAATCTCAAACTACACAAAGCTAAAGAGGTGGAAAATATCTTTGTACAAGAAGAATTGTTACTTTCTTGGTTAAGTTTTAATCATGGGTTAATGTTAACTGGCTTTTGAACAACCCGGTACTGGTGATTAGCCAAGCATTACATTTAGTTACATGCAACTTGACACATTGACTCCTCACTGCCAATAGCACTGTGAACGAGTACCTAGGGTGGAACATGTCATAGAAATTGAAAAAGTTGTCTGGTTAAAAAACTTTATTGAGGTATAAGCTTTTCATTGCCGACTTGCAGCCTTTCATGAATGGTAAAAAAACGGGGTGAATTAATGCATGAATAAAATCATATAGTGGATTGTGAAAAAGTTACAGAATAAAACTGTGACTAAAAGAATTAGCTGCTAAAAGACAAGTATTTTAAAACTAGTGTAGCCCAAGGATATGAAATTGCTGCAGGTATTTTGGTCTATTTTGCATGTCTGTGAACTTTGTAATGTATGCGCTTTTAGTGTTTTCTAAGCCTGTACAATAATAGAGTTCTGCCTAGGTAATGGCTTTGCATTATTGTCCATTTTTGGAGATTTTTATATATTGATGTATAGTGTCTGCTCTAGGCCATTTTGCTTCATTTTTCAAGTTATAATTGATTATGACATACACTACAATCAAGATATTGTACATAAATAATTATTATGGTTAGTTTTGGTTTCATGCTATAACAAGTTGTCTCTATTGACCATTATCAACTTTATTAAGATGTACATGTAGTATGCCTGAATGCCTTTCTAGAAAGCCCATTGTCACTGCAATATTACATAACATTACTGTCTGATTCATGTAATGCTATGCACTCCCATGATTGCAGTATTGTACTCTTTATTGGTATGTTAGACAGACAATTGAAGGGTGTCTAGTGACCTTGTGCCTCTGAACTAATAAAAATACACGTAGAGTTACTGTAATTGGGTTTCTATAGTCTCATTCTCTCAAGTATTTGTTTGCATTACATTAATCAATTAATTCTAAAAGTGATGAAAAGTTCTCTTTTTCTCAAGAAGAGAAAGTTAATATTGAAATTTGAGTTCGTTGTTTTGCTACATGTATTTCAGGACTTAAACTGAATTCAATCTGGCTTTGTGGAGGACAATAAATTAAAATAAATGGATTTGATTAGTGTTGTTCTGGATCTGTAGTTGATCATTATTTTGTTTACTGGCCAGGAGCTGAAAATCTGTTGCTACTTATAACTGATTCAGAAATCATGATCACCCGCTATGCTTTGCTTGTTTTATGACAATGGTCAACCATGAGAGTATTATAAATTCCCCAATCTCTTTTAAGTTCATTCTTTACCTGACTGATTTGAACATCCAACCTATAGCAGCAACAAGAAGATGCCACTAGTGGAGAGAGTGGAATTGACGAGACCAGTACAAACGACGATTGGTGTGCTGTGTGCCGTAATGGAGGAGAGCTACTTTGCTGTGACACTTGTCCAAGAGTCTTCCACTTACAGTGTCATGTTCCCTGCCTTGCCACCCTTCCAAGGTATCTTAGAAAACAGCTAAAAGAAAATACATACGTTGATTGGTTTAAAATCATGTTTCTATAACTTGATGGAAACAGAGTACACATTCTCTATTTCTTAAATATTGTGTTTAGAGATGTATAATTTGAACACTGCCTGAAGAAAGTCCAAGTATGTGGGGGTTATTTGCAGAATGCAGAGCAACCATTACCCTGACACTAACTAACCTTAATATAACAAAATCAACTCTACATGAGCCAACCCAAACCCTAGTAACCCCTAAACTAGAATAAAAAAGGCATTTGGTAGTTTTGTATGCTGCAAATTGCACACACCAAATGTTTTCCAGCAATTATAGTTAACAGCAGTAATCTTCGGAAATTTTTTACCGCAAAAATACAGTATTAATACAGTAATAGTGCACCAGCTCTACATTGAAACTGATCTTGTTTTCCTACAGTGATTCATGGAGCTGTGGTTTATGTCAGCATGTTGACTGGAACTTCTTAAAGCAGAAAGGTATGTTGAGTGGGCAAAATTATCATTAATATGCAACTTATTGTCACCAATAGGCTAGAAATTGTTCCAGCTGCGAACCCCTTGCAGCCTGAATGATCTGGACTGGTTAGAATATTAGTAGACATATCATCTAGGCGCTTTCAGACAAATAGGTTCTATTTTCAGTTACTGTAGATCTAGATGTTCTTTCTTTGGCTAATTACAAATAAATCACCTTGTTGGTTATTTATTTTTTTTTTTATCAACCCAGCTCAATGTTAAATCATCTGTTCAGCTAATTTGAGCAAACTATCATAATTATGTCCCATGTATTCTGGAATGGGGACATGAGGGAAGCTGATTATGTTTTGTACTGTTAGTCTGAATCTGAGCTATCAAGTGGGACTTGAATTAGTAAGTATTAGTAAGTATTATAATGTACTCTGAAGTGACGCATTTTTACCTAACAGATAAGGAAACCACCCTTCCAGGCAATAAAAGGCGATCTTCATGTAACGGTCTGACAGAGTATGAGAGAAAGGTAATATCATGATACAACCCTGGTATTAATAGTGAACTTGGCTGATGTCAAAGACATTATTTACTTTGTACTTTTGCAATAACTAGCAACTAATTATGGTGCAGACATTGGTTGAAAGCTATATGGTTCATAAGGAGATAGAGTATGAAAATGGCATACCAGCAGGGCAAATTTCAGAAAACTTGAGAAATTTGTTGTGACTTTTTCAATAGCTGTTATTGCAGTTAAGCCTGCAGTCAAATATTCCTTTGTTTAAATAGGCATACAAAGGAGGCGAACGGGTCAATACAAAGCAAAATTTATTCTTTCGCCTTGTTTGTATGTCAAACCACAGATAACTTCAATAACAGCTATGAACTGAACTTGAAGAGTTTTAAAATGTCAATTGGGACATTTTGGGTAAAATGTTTGACAGACTCAATTGGCTTCAAGCAAGAGGTTTAATCTTTCATGCCACTGCTTTCCTGCACAATTTTGAACTGATTTCTGGGGCCTGCTCTCAATACAAGTGGTAGAAATGAAATCGTAAAATCTTTAAAGCTTTACAATGAAATCAGTTGCTTTGCTAGTGATTCCAAGTGAGTTTTGAGCATTGTATTATATCATTTCTATGGTATGAGAGTCAATGAAAATTAAGCAAAAAATACCTTTATTTGTCTGCTGGGTGCCAATCTATGTTGTGTTCAAATAAATCCTGGGTCTACAAGGCCATGCTTAAAAAAAAATCCCCTGTATTTATTGGAGAATATGGAATATGCATGGTGCAACTAAATCCTGAGATATTTAAGTGCCATCATCTCCGGGGTAGTTAAACCTTCAGTCTATGATCATATATTGATGTTTTAAATTTGTCACTGGTAAGTGTCATATCTTATCATGTCATGTTCAATGATGTATCGGTCAATGAATTGAAGTATTAAAGTACAGCATGATGGTTTTCTTTAAGGTTTGTGAAAAGATTCTACTTGAGCTGTTTTGTCATGCAGACAGTATTCCATTCCAACAGAAAGTCAGCAAATCGGTTAGTGGAACCTTCGATGTAAATAGATGTACCGTAAAAACTCGTGTATAAGCCGCACCTTTTTGCTGAAATTTTGGGCTCAAAATGGCGAGTGTGGCTTATATACGAGACCATTGCTTTCAGAGGGGGCTAATTGCCTAGTTAGGGGTCAGATATAGCACTTAAAAACGTAAGTAAATAAACATTCAACATTTTGAAACCTGTTGCTGTTGTTGATCATTGCTTTTGATAGAAGTGGTGGCTCCTAAAGGAGCCTT